ATTTGCACTGCACTAAAGATGGTACCTCGTTTTTGGAAGTAAACTGATCAACGTAATTTGAAAATTGGCAAAAATTTTAAGTTAAAAATAAACCTGTCCAAGGTTTCAGAGAATAAAACAGCAATATCCAACTGGCAATCGTGCTCTTTCACACTCTTCACTGGTACCATGGCGCTCACATAACTGAAATTCGTGTAAGCGCTCAAAAAATATAAATATGAAAGTCTGAAGAAAAAAGTCGTATTAGCAAAAGTATGGATAATAATGACAAAATTTTTGAGCTATATCCTACACAGTAGCTGCAACAGTCCGACCAACCCGGCGTCTGTCTGGTCAACAAAACCAATAAACTCAATGGCTGCTTTTTTTGCAAGATCTGCTCAAGTTCAACAAAAAGAGAGACAGAAGGAGTTGCAATCCTAGCATTTCCCGAGCAAAATAGCGTCCCCAATCCACTTCATCGCTGATCTGCTCAAATACGGCTCCTTTTTTGGCGCGTAAGCATTTAAAAAAGTAATTTTAGGGATCTCCTGCAAAGATGCGGACGCGTTTCCCTTCCTTACTTACCACTAATGAACAATATGAAAAGGAAATAATTTTTGTTGTTGCGCTTCCAAAGTTTTCTGTGAAAAAATTTGTAGAGTTGTCAACCGAATAATTGGAATCATCACAGACTTCAGTTCAAATTCGGCGAAGAGTTCATCAAATTGCTTTAGGCTGCGCTTCACTTTGTCGCTGTAGTGAGTTGGATCGCGAAGCGACTGGTCCTTGAGTAAATCGCGTAAAGTGTCCAGATGTTTCGTTAGCGCACGAGCCATCGGTCTGATTGCCTCCGATTCCGCTTCATGGTCAATGATATTTGAGCCCGCCGTAAGGCACTGCAAAAATTTTCCTTGCCAGAAAAGGAGGCGAACATTGAGGAAGCAAAATGCAGCAAACGGATAAGCATTACTTACCAACAGTTTCGATGTCGTGCTGATTTGAACTCACCCATGGAGAAACTCAGGGCAAGCCAATTACACTTGACTGAAATATGAGTAAAAAATTTCAAGAGATTTACATACCTCTGCGCCGAACCACAGTTGTCCAGGTAAATTGTCATGAACAATCTCTTCGGGAAATTTTACTCGGTAATCGCGACAAGCGCGGTCTGATTCACGTGGAAACACCTGCTGCATCATTTCTGCTGCAAAACAACAAAAAAATTCTGATACCTGGGAAAGTTTGGCTCAGCTACATCCATACGCTGATCACTTTTAAAAGTTTAGCAAAAAAAAGGGTCAAACTCTGGGGAACAAGCATAGTTTTCTACTGGGTCTGTTGATACACTGCTTTATCTGCTGACTAAATACAAATTGGAGAAGTGAGCCTTGAAGCAAGGCAGAATTTTTTTCCCCCC